GGACATTCACCCATCTAAAAGAACAGGCAAAAAAGAAACTAAAATAATGTGAAATTTTTATAATTAGTGCGAAAATTTTATCGCCGTTTGAATTTTTTCTAGAAAAAAATTAACTGAGAAAAAAAACTGATTCAGAATGAAAAGATTATCGAAAAATGTGATTCCAGGTACCTGTCACGACATTGCGAATCGCTTCTTCCTGGTACACGTGATGCCACTTTCATCCAGTCTTTCGTGCCAAAACATCCTACTGCACAAGTAAGGAGCTGCAAAATTTTAAAAATAATTCAACAACACATCAAATGCTGCCGATAAAAAGATGCGTTTTTTGCACAGTACCCCCACAAGTTTCTACCACGAGTGGCGCTGTTTTTTCCGGCAGATGCTTCTAGCTAAAAGAATTGAGACTGGCCATTATGATTTTCATAAATTATAACGGCTCTCTGAAATATACTAAACCAAACTCAAGCAGTGCATAAAGGAACATGATTTGAGACGAATCTATACTTCATCATTTTATAAATTACCATCAAAATGTCTAACTATGCATCATGCCATGGCCTCTGATTAATGCTAGCGGTCATTCGCTGGTAATTTTTATGCTGATTCGTTTCATTTTTGAGAGCCAAACCCTCTTTTTTTTTTTAAATTTCGTGCAATCTAAAAATGAGGAAAAATCTGCTTACCACATCCTCACTCGCATCCCATCGACCAAATTTAATACTGGTATCCAGTGCACGCCTATACCGAGCAGTACATTGCTGCCGCGATCTCTCGTCCATGTGATGGGCAACTTAAAATGAAATGAATGTAAATATCGGTTAGTACAAGAACCGCTTGCGCGTTTCGATGGTGTATTGCTAAAACCACACACATACATATACACACACACGCACACGCACGCACATACATACACATATACATATACAGACACACACAAACACATACACACACGCACACACACCCAACAATACACAGACACACAACAAGCACACACAACACAAACCAAGAAGTCGCCGTCAGTTTGTTTCAAAAATAGTCAAAAAGACCTTGGTGGGCAGGCACTGCTTCTTAGCATGTACCACCACACGGGATAAAACAGCAAGCTCCCAAAAGCCAAAGAAAATGTATTACGAATGGTTTTAACAGACCCCGATATACCATCTCGAGATATGCCATCCCGAGGGTATAGCTACTAGGCAACATCCAGCAACTCTCAGTTCGGCCATCAAATTGTCCTGCCTATCAAATTTATTTATTTTTTGCTTGCAGCGATGCTCTGCTAATGATAAATCTCGTAAAAAGCTCGCAAACATGAGGTAATAAACAGGTTGGGCAGTAGCTTTTTTATCGCCATTTTTTCATCCTAATTGACCGTATTTAGTTTTAATATTTAGGTAAGCAAAAAACATACTTTTGCCCCAAAACATTTTACCATTCACTTGTATACAGTGTGTAAGCACCATCAGATGCGCATCCTCTTCCTTTGTCCATGGCCTGGAATAAATCATCCAGCAGTTTATTTAGAAAAGCTGTAAACACAGACAGTATAAGGTGCAGAGTCAGGGGTAGGAATCAACTTCTCATACCCCTACTGTTTGCCCCTTTGGCCAACTAATTTACCGTTTTTTTTCGTCAGTAAGCATTAATTAGAAAAAAAAAACGCATAATTTTGGTCCCAAAAAAAACATACCGTCCATTATGTTCAATTTCAATTTCACTCTTGAATTTGACGAAACATTGGAATGGCGTACGATTTGTACCCATCTTCTCCGCAACAACATTCCAGTTGTTCCAATAACCATGCGCCCTCAAACAGTTTATTTCCATGGCTGTCCACGGTTCTTTCGACCATTTTGGACATTGCTCATTGATCCATTTC